TCCAGAGATCACGTCGTATCTTGCTAACGGGGTTTCTATCTAGCTCTTGCGCGTGATCCGTTTCGTACTCTCGTATTCCCCCATGTATTAAAAAGCCCGGAGACACTGGTGACTTGCGGGCCTCTCTGACTCGCACTAGGAGGAAGATCGCCTGAAAAAGGAACTTTTATTTTAGCTGTGGAATAGAGATGGTTTATTTTTTTTTGCAAACGCGTGTCACTACGGCCGCAGGCCACTTTGTGGCGGCAACGAGTAAGAAAACCGGAGGGGCACGAGAAGCGGTGTAGGCGAGGGAATGTATATGGGACCGGTGAACTTCTTTTCATTCAAGTGTTCGACCTCGTGTTTGGCTCCTCTTCTCTCCTGTTGGGCCCGTTTCTGTGCCATTCTTGCCTTCGGGCTGGTTATAGCTTAAAATGCTGCTGCGAATGTTGATCTTCTGTGGATGATCCAGTCTGCTTTTCATCTTTCTGTTTTTTTCACTTTTTTTTTTTTAATTCCTGCCTGCCCATTGAGCTCGTATGACTATCTATGACCTGGTGTCTTTTTCACGGCTTCAGCTGCGACTCCCCGTAGGGCTTCTCCCCGTAACGCCCCTTGTATACAGCCCCACAATCAATTAGATGGCCTAGATCTCGTTCAGCTATCCGCCGGCCTCGTTGTCAGCCTGTCACAGCTATGGAAGGCCACCCAGACCTGAGAGGACCATCGACCATGATGTCATGCCAGCCCCTTCTAGACCGCGGGGAAAGAGATTGGAGGTGTCCGATCCAGCGGCTGTTTCAGCTCAGCTCAGCTAGCTAGTCGTAGCTACTAGGCCAGATGGGTAGTCGGTTTATATGCTTGGTAGGAAGCTGTGTGGAGTCTGATACAGCCCGGATCGCCAATATATACCATTATATTGAATACTGCCAGAAACGGCTATATCTGTTTATAGAATAATTGTTTCAAGTTGTTTGAGAAGTGCTTAGTTGCAGGAAGAGAGTGTCATACATACTACTGATATGAAGGTATCTACTATGAGTATCATCATCCAGGGTATAGATTTCACTTATTTTATTTCTAGCTAGGATGAGAGGAGAAGCGAGTACTGATCGATACGATGTATCTTCGGTTCGTAAGATGGTTAGGATGATGGGAACTTTGTAGTATGCCTGGTATATGAGGCACATCTATACAGTTCAAACCGACGTTTATGACTGGGAAGAAGAATTGAAACAGTGGAAGTCTTGTATTCATTCATTCAAAAACGTAACTGGATGATATCAAATAATGCAAAAAAAAAAAATTGAAACGAAAATGAAAGGGGAGGTATAATCCCTCCTGCTTTTCTATGAATTCCATCTCCCATCCCAACCCGCCGCCCTCCGTGATTTCTCTAAGTTTGACATCATATCATAACATAACTATCTTATCAAGATTCAAAATTATCATATTTACGCATCCCATGTCTCCAGACCAGTCAGGATACAGCCTTCCTCGCCCTCCTGCTTGACCTGGAGTTCACCGATCTGGTAGACCGTCTGGCCCTCCTTCTGGAGGAGCTCCGTGATGGCACCCTCAGAGCCCTTCTCCACAGCCAGGATCATACCCACACCGCAGTTGAAGGCGCGGGACATCTCCGTGGCGGTGACGTTGCCGTTCTGCTTGAGCCAGCGGAAGACAGGGGGCAACTCCCAGGTGGAGACGTTGATGTGTGCGGCCAGTGTGGCGGGCAGCATGCGGGGAACATTGTCGAGCAGACCACCACCGGTGATGTGAGCAAGACCCTTGATAGCGGCGGAAGAGGTGGCCAGGGCCTTCAGGAGGGGCTTGACGTAGATGCGGGTCGGGGTGAGCAGGGCCTGGCCCAGGGTCTGGGGGCCCGTGGCCGAGGGCATGGTGAAGGGAGCAGGGTCCTGGTAGGACAGACCCGAGCGCTCAACGATCTTGCGGACGAGAGAGTAACCGTTAGAGTGGGGACCGGACGAAGCCAGGGCCAGCAGGACGTCACCAGCCTTCATGGCGGTGGTGTCGGGCAGGATGGTGCGGGCGTTGGGGCCGGTGGTGTTGATGGCACCGACAGCGGCACCGACGGCGTCGTAGGACTCGTCGATGAAGAGACCGGGCATCTCCGCGGTCTCACCACCGATCAGGGCGCAGCCAGCCTGGACACAGCCCTCAGCGACACCGGAAACGAAGGCAGAGGCGGTGGGGACGTCAAGCTTGCCGCAGGAGTAGCAGTCCAGGAAGAAGAGGGGTTCCGCACCCTGGACGACCAGGTCGTTGACGTTCATGGCAACCAAATCGATACCAACGGTGTTGTGCACGCCAGCAGCGTGGGCGATCTTGAGCTTGGTGCCGACGCCGTCAATGGCACCGATGAGAGTAGGAGATTCGGGGTGGTAGGCGGAGTTCGCAGCGGCCAGGGAGAAGAGACCACCGAAGCCGCCGATGACGGCGTCGGTACCGGGGCGCTTGGTCTGGGCGACGGAGCTCTTGATCTTCTGGACGAGGTCATTGCCCGCATCGATAGAGACACCGGCGGCGGCGTAGGTGAGAGACTCCTGGTGAGCAGCGGCAGCATCCCGCTGGCGGAAGGCCCGGTGGGCGATGTCCTTGCGGTAGAACATGTCCTCAAAGTGGATGGTGGCAACGCCCTCGTAACTCTTGCGGACGGCCTCCTCGAGGCTGGATGCGGTGGCCGTGGAGGCAATGACACGGCCGCCAGCGGTCTGGAGCTCGTCCCCGACGAGGTTGGTACCAGCGTGGAAGATCAGAGTGCCTTCGGGGGTAGGGTCCAGGGTGATCTTCTTGCCCTTGGCGTAGGAGCCGGGGTAGCCACCGGCCACGGCGATAACAGTGGTGGAGAAGTCGGGCTTGACCTTGATGGAGACACCGTCGAGCCAGTGCTCGGTGCAGGCGACCATGATCTCAGCCAAGTCGGTGTCGTCGGTGAGCAGAGGGAGGAGGGTCTGAGTCTCGGGGTCACCACCACGGACATTGTACTCGAGAACCTTGGGGCCATCCTTGGTCATCATGAGACCGGTGAAAAGGATACCGACGAAGGGGAATCCTATGAGGTGATTATGGTCAGCGAAGGAAAATAAACCGAAAACAAGACGGGGAAAGACATACCATCTCTGCGCATGCCATCCACGGAAGGCTGAATGATGGAGCGGTCGATCTGAGCGAGAACCTCCTTGGAGGAGATGGGGGTCGGGGCGTAGCAGCCCATACCACCGGTGTTGGGGCCCTGGTCGCCATCGAAGATACGCTTGTGGTCCTGGGCGGCGGGAAGGGAGCGGATAGTGTAGCCATCACTGAAGGTCAGGACACTGAGTTCGTCACCCTCGAGGTACTCCTCGATGACGACCTCGCTACCGGCCTCACCGAACTGGTTCTCGACCATCATTTCACGGAGGGCCTGGTGGGCCTCCTCCTTAGTAGTGGGGATGATGACACCCTTTCCACCGGCCAGACCATCAGCCTTGATGACGACCTGGTGAGAGACGGAGTCGAGGTACTGGCGGGCAGGCTCATATTCGTAAAAGTTCTCATAGGCGGCGGTGGGGATGTTGTGACGCTTCATGAAATCCTTGGAGAAGGTCTTGGAGCCCTCCATGCGGGCAGCGGCCTTGGAAGGACCGAAGCAACGGATGCCAACTGGATTGGAGCGATTCAAGGTTAGTTACAAACGGAACTGCAATTGTTCCATGTCAACGGACAGACTCACCGGCCTGGAAGTAACCCTGGATGCCGTCGACGAGGGGAGCCTCAGGACCGGGGACAACGAGGTTGACACCATTCTGCTGGGAGAAAGCAACAAGACCGGGGTAGTCATTGCCCTTGATGTTGACACTCTGGATCTTGCTGTCGGGACCCTGAGCGGTGCCTCCATTGCCGGGAGCGACGTAGACAATGTCGACGCGGGGAGACTGGGTCAGTTTCCAGGCCAGCGCATGTTCACGGCCGCCATTGCCGACGATGAGAACGCGCAACCGTTCCGTAGTCATGGTGAAAGGTGCAGGGTTCTCTGAGGACCTGATTGACAAGAATAAGGTCAGAGAAGGAGCACAAATGTGCGATTAGAGGGTGGTGAGAGGAGAGGAGAAAAGAGAGGGAGAGGGAGAGAGAGAGTGTGGAGGAGAAGATGGAGTGGATGGAGGGGCAAGTGAAACCCCCCATTGGGATACTTTGACTCATGGTTTCTTTTCTGTCAAATGCCCCAGAGCAAGTCCAATTGTAGAGGGTTCCATGCAAAGAATAAAACACTTAATTACTAACCTCAAGAACAGTCTGCACACAGAGTTAGAGGAGCGAAAGTGAAGAGCGAAAGCAGCAATGGGAGCAAGCAAGCAAACCAAACTCAACTCAGTCGCTGGGAATTTTTTTTTTTGACTTTTTTTATCGATTGGCGGCACGGCGGGGCCAATCAATGGCACCTCCGACCCCGGATTCGGAGTACAGCAGCAGACATAGTACAGGGTAGATGAATAGTTATATAGTTGATTGACATGAACATTTAGAACAGTAAGAAAAAAAAGAAGTGAAAGTATTAGAGAGATATTTCTCTTTATTTCTCATTGTTCATAATCAAGAGGGTGAATCTCTCGAGTGAACAGTTGCACTTTCTCAACTATACTCTGCGGGTACTTGGGGGGATACTGGCTGGTACTTGCTGGTACTTACTGGGTACTCCTTGGGTAGTACGGAGTACTTTGCTTGTTATCAATACCCGTTCGTATGGACAGACAGATTACCACGCCGTATCCAGCACCGTATACTATTACTGTATGCATCATACCAATTACAAACAGCGTATTAGATCAACTCCCCGGGCGGTGAACACACACCGACCGGCAGAAAATCCGAAGCGCGGCGAAGCTTCGAAGGCAAAAAAAATGTAGCTTTTGATCAATTCCTCAATTCATTGCTTCTCAGCGTGCCTTCCATCCTTTAAATCCTTCTTGGGCTGCTCTTGCATTCTTCTACCATTGTCGCTCGTTGATTTGGCCCGAATGTATCGGGCCACCCTGCGGTCTGTCTCAGACCCTTTGCGCGAGCATGTCTGTCTTTCATGCTTAGCTCGCGGCCTCGAAGCCCAGCCCTGGGCTCGCCGCTTCCACACCGCGCCCAGGTTGCGCTCCCAGGCCACCGAGTCTTCTTCCACTGTCGCCATTGAAGAGCAACTGAAGGCGCTGGAGAAGGTATGTATGCGAAATCGGGATGCTACTATGAAGGGCCATTATATGGAAGCTCGAAACCCATGAATGCTAACGGCCTGCTGCTGCGGACAGAACCTCCCGGATAGAAGGACACCCGCCCATGTGAAAAAGTCCCTACGGACGCAAAATCCCAAGTCACCTCAAAATGCAGACAAGAAAGCGGTCCGAAAGGCCGCCAAGCAAGAAGCGATGAAAGTACGCAAGAAGGACCCTGCAAACCAAGCAGCCGACGCCGAGACTCCGAAGGAGGAGAACAAACAACCGGAGCAGAAGGACAAGAAGGACCAAAAAGCTCGCGCGCAGCAGAAGACTTCTCCTGACTCCTCTACATCTCCCAAGCCGCAGGTATCGGTCAGTCAGCTTTACCATTCCACTTGGACTAGCCAGGGTCTAACTCAATGCCAGGCCAACAAGCAGTCTACCAAACTACAGCTCCCTGTTCCAATTACCGGAAAGGACACCGGCAAGATCAATGCAGACCGTGACTCCGTGAAAGGTGCGTCTTCTTCAAAGCGACATAGGAAATTTCCTGCTGGATCACTAACTAGCGCAAAGCCCTCGATGTTGAGACCCCCGAAGTTCCGCAACTAGCCTATGGGCTAGACAGAGTGCTGTTCAAGTAAGTTGCTTCCTTTGCCCCCAGAAATAGTCGATTGCAAAACGGAGCTGACAGCTGCTGCCTTGTACAGCCCGGGAGTCTATCATCTTCGGGATCCGCGATCGCGCGTTTACAATTTCGATCCATACCTTGGCTCCATTATGCCTGTCACCGAATTCGATTTTGAAGCGTTGAAGGAGTACATCACCTCATCCAAGGACGAGCAGCTGCGGAGCCTGGCGCAGAAGGAGAAGAAGAAGTACATTGGCTCCTCTTCCAGTATGACATCCGTTCTGTCGCACTTCCACTACCTCCTGTCCTACTGGAGAGAGGTCAATATCCAACAAGTGTCGCGGGGCTTTCAGGAAAGGTTGCGGACCTTCACGCGACTCTTGCGAGCTCCCTCGGCCATGTTTCTGCGCTACCAGAACGGCGTCTATGCCATCGATGCCGACAAGGAACACGATACGGCCAACATTCTCATGAACCTGGGTAAATCGATGGAGAAGCTTTTGACCATGCCAAAGGAGGAATTCGAGCGCTACCGACGATCTAGCTCCAACAAGATCTCCGCGGAAGAGGAGCAGGCAGTGCCCGAAGCCTACCACTACTCGACATACGGCGATTTCCTGATGCGTTCACAGCTGGATGCCTACGACCCGCGGCTCCCCGGCACCGGCATGTTCGATCTGAAGACCCGGGCGGTGGCATCCATCCGCATGGACGCCAAGAACTTCGAGCACGGCCTGGGCTACGAGATCCGGAAAGCCCATGGCACGTACGAGTCGTATGAGCGCGAGTACTACGACATGATCCGGGCGGCGCTCCTCAAGTACTCTCTCCAGGTGCGCATCGGCCGCATGGACGGCATCTTCGTGGCCTTCCACAACATCGAGCGCATCTTCGGATTCCAGTACCTCAGTCTGCCCGAACTGGACATGGCATTGCACGGCCAATACGACACCGCCTTGGGAGACCGGGAGTTCCTCCTGAGTCTGCAGCTCTGGAACAAGGTCCTCAACAAGGCGACGGCCCGATTCCCCAAACAATCTCTCCGCTTCCACTTCGAGACCCGTGACTCCACGGCCGGTCCACCCTACATGTACATCTTCGCCGAGCCCGTCACAGACGAGGAAATTCACGCGATCCAAACGAAGAATCAAGCCGAAATCGACGCCTACCAGCGCCGCGTGCTTGACCTACCCGGTCGCGCCAACGAAGACGACGACACAACAACAAACGACACCGAAGACATCCCTGCCGACTTCGAGTCCTCCAGCCCCGCCGACGACCTGGCCGAAGACTCAGCCACAACCAAGTCCGAGACCTCCCAGGACGAAGCCGAGACGACCCCAGGCAAAGAAATCATGGGCTTTGCCCTCACCGTCCGCAACATCGTGGACGGTGAATACGTGGACCGCCCGATCCAGTTCCAATCCCCTAACAAGTGGTCCGTTGACTACGAACTGAACCACCTTGACAGTTCCAAGTGCTGGAAACTCTACAATGCCTGCCAAGAACGCCGCCGGAAGGCACTCTCCGGCCGCGGCGAGGACGAGACTGATGTTGCGGCCAATACGTATATTCGCCGCCTTCGCGAATACGCCAAGAAAGGTCGCAAGTACCGCAAGGAGCAGAATAAGCTGGATGAACAGGAGAAGCTGGTCGTTTTGCGCGATTGAGCCTGTATTCGTCCTCTTTCTCTGTCTCCTGTTTTCGGCTAGGCGGAACGGTAGATTGAAGATGATTGATTGATTGATTCACTGATGGATGATTACTTAAACTATGGCCCGCGGTGCGAGGCTGCAGTCATCTATCTAATCAATCGATCAATCGATCTACTCTCCGACTCCATTCCATGGTCCGCTCCCCATCCATTACCAACTATTTACCTCAACAATACTCTATAGATACCTCATGTTCCTCACACCCCATATGTATGTATACTATAATGATTCAAATATTCTCCTTTCACATCTCTGCTGCAACGAGCGTCGTTGTAGTTGCAGGGTGCTGCTCTTCCGTGGAAATGTTCGTTCTCTCTTCTTCATATCATTATTGTAGACGTGATAGGCATTGTAGGTCTGTCTATCTGTTGGTAGCTACTTGATACTTCTTGACACTGCTATTTAATGAATAGTAAAGTATAGATGTAGTTAAGAAAAAAAAAAAAAAAAAAAAAGGCTATGGTGAACGGCCAAGATAAATGTAAGAATCAACCGAGATATCATCCCATTGTAGTAAGTAGTATACACATGTATTCACAGATGGTTGCTCTCTACACATCATATCAACAATACACCGACTGTGCTGACCCGACCAAAGAAATGAAACAATCAATTACAGGCCACTCATTCATGGGTCACATGGTCTTTGTCCCCTGCGGGTCAATTCTCTCCATGACGGAGAATATTCTCTATGACATTAACAATTAGGGCATCAATGGGCTTCAACGAAGATAAGTCAACGAAAATAAAAAAAAGGTAAGGCAGATCTGCAAAGCACCATCAAAACCCAGGGTTCTCGAAAGGAAAGTTAAGGAACGCCACCTAGCCCTTGCGCCAAACAGCAAGATGCGAAACCAAAGTGCTCTTGCTTTTCCTGGAGCAACTGCCCCTCTTGAGGCAACACATGACAGAAGGAAATTCGGAGATGAGAGAGGGACATAAAAGGGGTGGTCAGCGTCCGGTGGACACGCCAGGAATCTGAGTACCAGCTGGCGAGACAGGACACAGAACCAAGAGGGAAAAGAGAAGAGGTAAAGGAAACAATGGACGGTCAAGGACTGATGAGAGACAGAGGAGGAGCGAACGCCGTCCACTGCCTAGGGAATCGGAGCTTCGGTAAGGGGATGGAGGGAAAAGAAAAGAGAAGGTGGTTGGATGTAGATGGAGAGCCGAACAGTGACGGCCTAAAACACGAGGCATATCTTCGACTAGCGAAAATGCGCTTGCGAGTTATCGTGATTCGATTCATTAGTCATGTTTGAGCGAAGAACGAATGGCCCCTTAGCAGGGCATCACTCGAATTTCCCCAGGTCAAGGGGAGGTGGCGCCCACTCCAGCTTAGGGGGTCGGTCCGTTGAAACACACACAGCGCCAGATCTCATCTTCTCCAGCTTCTTGCGTTCTTTCGAGGCGCTGCCACTGAGGAAGCCGCGCAGCGTTGATGAGGCTGTTCCGTACGTACTCCTCGCACTAGCCCGAGTACTGGTGGAGACCGTACTGGAACTGCGGGCACTGCGGACGCTGCTGGACTTGCTGACCGTGGATGGTATAGGAGGCACAGGCACCGCCAGACGAGAGGATGATGTGCTGGAGCCAGTATACTCTGGGGGCAGCATGTGAGGAGCATAGCCTGGGACCGAGAAAGGAGCCGTCTGCGGGCGTTGTCGGAGCTCAGCGACCAGGCTACTCTCCGCATCAAGTCCCTTAAACATATCCAGATGGTCTTTCGGGCTCGTGGGCTCAATCTCCGGCGGCAACTGCACGGGAAGCTCCGGTGGTGGCTGGATCTCGGCTTCCGACACTGCCACATCTAGTTTCATATTGTCCAGCATCAACCCAAGGCTTCCGGCTGTGGTGGGGCGTCCGTCGCTCGAAGCGTCATCGTCCAACCCGGTCATATCATCTTCGATACCGTGGGCTAAGTTGTAGTTACGGTACAGATATCGACGGAGGCGAGCAACCTCACCATCCCATTTCCGGCTCAACGACTGGAGAATAACCTCGACGTCTTGCTGCATGAGGGGAGATGTCTCGGCAGGAACACTCAGGCTCGAGGCTACTGAGGCGCCGGAGCGGTGACCAGACGTTTGCTGCTGTTTGGACGACTTACTGCTCGTCTTTCCATTCATGGCGGCATGTAACGAACGACGGATAGAGCTGGTTGCCGAGCTCTGCGCAAGGCTCACATCCCGCTTCACGTTCCGGATCTCACGCCGGACCCGCTCGAGCGATTGGACCCGGTCACGATCCATGAATGACAGACTCAATAGGGATCTGTTCCGCTGCAGCCCATTTACCAGGACCGTGAACGACTGTAAGTTGATGTCATTGTTCTCACAGTATACTTCACGGAGACATTCATTGTCTTCCAGCACCGAGGCCAGAGTGTTTGCCCCCTGCAAGCCCAGTTTCTGATGCTCGATCCTCAGAACTCGCAAGGACTTGTTCTTTTTCAGACCAGTCAGGGCCAGATTCAGACCAATTCCGAACCGAGCGACATCCAAATGAGCGCTTTCTCCACTGATATCCAAATCTTCAAGCGTCTCGTTCTCCTCGAACATCAGCTGGAGCGCCTTGCACGTCTCAGGGCCGGCATCATACGGAAGAGAAGCCTTGGAGATGTCCAGGCATTTCAACGTCCGGTTCTTTCGCAAGGCCTCCACCAACTCCTGGAACTGCTCCTCCTTTTTAAAGTCAATCATCCTCATTGACATATGAGTTGGTGTCTTGTTTTGCGCAATGGCTTTGAAAAGGTACGAGCAGCCTTGATCAAGGCGGTTCTCATTGACGTGAAGATGCAGATCGCGAGGGAACCCGTTGGCTGTCATGGAATGCAGGAAGATGGCTACATCCTGACCGCTGAGTCCACACTGGTCCAGGCGAAGCACCCGCAGACCCCGAGATCGGTCACTGGCCAGATATGTGGCTATGGCATCGACAGTCTCCCGGTTTACGAGGGTCCGGCTCAGTGAGAGTTCCTCCAGGCGCCAGTTGAACAACGTCTCGGGGGTGATGAGAGGTTCTGTGCCCGAGGTGCGAGAGATACGAGACAAGTCGAGCGTCTTGATCTGACTGAAGTAGCCGAGGTACTGCTGGAGGATGTCGGGGCTAAGGCGACCCTGCACACCCGAGATGTTCATTGCCTCCAGAGTTGAGGACTGAGCGACGACCGTAGACAGGAGAAGGTCAAGATCGTGAACTGACAAGCCACAGTTGCCCACCTCCAATGCTCGCATGTGACTGGACCGTTGAGACGAGGCATCCACGAGATAGTCGAGATCCGAATCGCCCAGCTTGATACCGTTCAGCACCACCCAGTCAACACTCGTCAGCTCTCGTCGGCAGATGGGGAAAATCGCTTCAGGGATTCCACATCCTGGATCATGACTTTCACTATCCGACTTCGGAATGCGGCTCAGGGTATAAGAGAAATCCAGGCGGCGAAGCCACTTGCTCTTCAGAGTCAACGCACGCACTTCCTGGGACAACACCGATAGGTTCTCCTGACCCGGGATATGGATCGGCGCCCCAGCACGACTCAGCAGAGCGTCTTTATCCGGGCCGTAGAGGTCGCGTAGGCCTTGCAGAACATCCAAGCTGACTCCACTAAATGAGATAGACCGGAAGGATTCGTTGTATCGAAGGGCTCGCAGAACGGCTATCAGTTCTAAAGCGGTATACTTCTTTTGCCGAGCGGAGGCGGGCGGTAGGAGCTTGAAACACGGGGCATCATCGCATTGCACATCAATGGTATATCGAATGTTCGAAGTGTCGATGTCGTAACTGGCCGAGTAGGCGACCAATGTCCGGTCGAAGCAACCATAATCTTCGTCCAAGCTCACCGGGGGGAAGTTGCTCTCGTTATCGAGGTCCCGAGGAACGATGAAGTCATACGGTTGTTTGATCCACAAGGGACGTAAGAACTCGGTCTGTTGTCGAATCCAGAAGGCAATCTCCACGGAATGCACCGATGCGAGGAAGACCGAGAACGGTTTCCGCGTTGGCACACGGAACGTTAGATGCAAGCTATCGTCGCCCCATTCCATGGAGAGACAGGTCAGGTTCATCAGTCCGAATGAGGTTGCCGCATCGAGGTCACTCAAGGATACCACGGAGCTGCGGCTGGAGATCTTGTGCAACGGGATCAGGTGGAGCTTGTGCGACCCAAGGGCGAGATAACAGCCCGTCGGTGACAGTTTGGTGAGATCTTCGGATGACGCCCGGGCAGGGGACTTGCTGGACGCCATCTGGATCACCCGGAACATTCGAAAGGTCTCTGGATCATAATCCCGCTCGTACTCGAGCATGCGGACCACGCAATCCGCCGTCTTCTGGTCAAAGACCAGCGGGTCGGCCCCGCGGATCAATTCCGCCGCGGAGCGTATGCCCACCATCCACAGATTCAGTTCCTGGAAATCGGGCGTCTGCATCTGAATGAAGGTGGCTTTTTGAGCCCGTTCATCCACATAGGCCACTTCCACTGTAGACGACGGTCTGCCATCGTCTAACATGTAGACCGCAATGATGCTGTTCAAGGCAATGCCGGAAATGGACTCGCTCGCAGCGGCTAGCTGGGGGTCCTGTAAGGAACTGATGGAGGCGACGGACTGGCGGTTGGCCGCCACTGAGCGGGAGGTGAAGGAAGCCGGAATTGAAGGAAACATATCGGCGGCTTTGCTTTGGTTCTTGAACCGGACGAGATGCGTGTCCGTCAAAACCAGGTAATGGCTCTTCTTTCGCCACATGCCTCCTGTGATTGAGATCTCCCCGTGGTGCAGGATAATGGAGCCAATGCCTTGTCGCAGCTCGGGAGGGTCCTCATCCAGGGACGAGCCTTTGGAGCGGCCCAGCGACCGGTCGTCATCTTCTTGGGAATGCAGCGAGCGAAGGGAACCAAACACGGAGGTTCGTCGTTTCTGTATGGATTTCCGCCGGCTACGAGGCCCCTCAAGCGCCACGGTAGGCAGCGCGGTCACGTAGGTGGCCGACTCGGAATCGGCGGTGCCGGGACGACGCAAGCCACGGGTGGGCGTGGCTCTCGGGGGACTGGGGTGCCGGACCCCAAAGAAACCCGAGTTACGTCGCGATTTCTTCTTCAGAACCTGGGCATCGTCGGAGGGCGACCGTTCATGAGCGGCGGGGGCGGGAAGGGAAGAGGTGGTCATTGATGGGCTGAAGACGCTCAGGCTCTTTCTCCGCTCTTTCTTCCCCAGACTCTCGGCCATGACGGGGGGGAAGCAGGAGGGCGGAGAAGACGGTAGAGGAAAGGGACGAGGACGCTAGAGGGCGAGACGAGCAGGAGCAAATTGGAAGTCAAGGACGATGTGCCACATCGAGGAGGCCGAAGTCGCCGGGGGGAGGTCACTAAATGGAAGAAAACCGGTAAGAAAAAAAACAAGGCCACCGACCACTGGGGGAGGAGCATGATGGGACGATAAGGATGGATAGACATGGCTGCAGGCCTAGCCTAGGAGATTGAGACCCCGGTGGTGACTAGTGAACTAGAGGGGTGGAGCAGGGCGAAGGAGCACAAATGAGGAGCTGTGGAAGGGAAGAGGGGGAGGAAAGGCAGGTGGAACATACAGCAATCGGGCCAGCTGCCATCGATAGGAGGTGAAGAATCAAGATGGACGCGCAGGGAGGCGGCACGATTCGACGTGGCAATGGAAAATGGGAAGAGAAGGGGAAAGAAGTCAAACGGAGACGGGGGATTGGGGAGAGAAAATGGCGCAATTTGAGATTGGGCGCTTGGAAAGAGAGAGAGAGATGGAGATGGAGAGAGAAAAGAGAAAGGGAAGCAAAAGAAGGCCAAGGAACAGTCTCGATACCAGATGAGACAATCAATGAGATGAAAGGCGACAGGGACAACCTTAGGATAATTCGTAACTAAAGTAGAAGAAGAATAGAAGAGAAAGAGAATAACCAGAAATACAATGGACCCGAAGAAGAGCTTAAAGAATACGTCGAGGGGGGAGGAGGAGGAGAGCAAAGGAAAAGAATGGGGTGGGTTGAGAGAACCGATAGTAGCGAGCGAGCGGAGGACTGTCAATAAAAAAAAGTACGAAATTGCAGCAACACCAATGCGATGGCGATTGAGATGCACGGAAGAGGAGAAATGGAGGGGGGATAAGAAAGAACGTCCAAGCACACTCCGGGGCAACCAGGGACGTAAGAAAAGGTTACAGTCTAGGCCGTGTCAATGGGCGAGACAACGCAACACCCTCACCATCAGAACACCGGAAAGGGGAAAACACGAGAGGAGAGTGAAGAGAGAATCGACGAAAGCGGACGAGGCGCACAAGATAGAATGACTGCTTATCTTTCCTTTCTTTCTTTCCTTTCTTTCCTGTCGTGTTTACAACGTCAACGTCTCAGTGACCCAAAGAAAGCGATTGTTTAAGCGGGCCCCAGTGAGGTGAAAAGATTGGATCGAACCAGTTCCTGAACGGCAGGCAATCCGGAGAAAATTGAGCTCAGGAACTAAAAACTGCTGCAGCGCGTCTTTTGGGTTTATGATGTCAGCGCCCGGAGCTTCTTCGGATCCCGCTGAAATAAGGAATCAAATTCGGGGATCCCGAGTCTGTACTCTCTGTGTGTGTGTGCGTGTGTGTGTGTGTGTGTGATTGATGACAAAATAAGAAGTAGAGACTGAATGAGTACGAACTAGTTGACTAACTAGGGAGAGAGGGGAAGATCCGATTTACAATTCCCTAAAGAGAGAGAGAGGAAGAGCGAAAGACAAGAGGGAGAGGGAGGGAGAAAGGGAAGATGGGAGGAGAGAGGAGGAGGGGAGGAAGAGAGAAAAGAGTGGGGAAAAAGACTAAAGGGACGAGGGAAATGACGGATCAGGGGGGGTAAGGAGATGGAGAGATGGAGATGGAGATGGAGAGGCAATATGGAGCAGACAAAGAGAAAGCAGAAAAGAATGAGCAAATGATGGTGGCAATGCAACAGCACAACGAAACACAACACCATGAATGATGAGCCAATGTGGATGGATTGACATGACGAGGCGAGGGAGAAAAAGAGAGTTTAGTTACTTCTCACTTCCAGTTACTCTCTCCGGAAAGCCGATCATCCCAAGCTCGCCGAATGCAGTTTGTGCTTTTTGTCTGGAGATGGATTCTCTCTCTCCCTCTCCCTCTCTCTCTCTATACACCTACACAATCACTACTAGTTATCTACGGAGTACTGACTACTACTACTACTTCCTTCCTATCTGACAATCTGACTAGGATGAATCACCAGGATGCAACTGCACAGGATGCGCAGGATGAAAAGAAGCGTAATAACTTTAACTTCTCCTTCCACTTCATCCCACTGGCCGGTTTATTATAGAAGCAGCCGCCAACTACTAACCGCCGCCTCACCCGTCCGCCTCTCTGGGATTGCTTGTCCTGATTCCACTAGAGAGAGACAGTCGGATGGCAAACTGATTACTTCAGGAACCACACTAACCGGTCCTTTCGTCTCCCTTCGACTCCATCACTAAACTACTTGATAACTAACTAATCCACTCACTAACTGTCCTTGATGCTCATTTCCCTGTCCCACCGTTGCCCCCCCAGATGGAGCCCTTTTTGAAGCCGATCGCCGGTGGATTGAAACGCGTTCGAGAAGCCGATCTCCAGCCGCGTACACCCATGCAGGACTGGCCGCCTTCCTCTCTCACTCACTTTCTCGATTTCTCATTCCTCATTCCTGCTCCGGGGCTCCACTTGCATCCATCCCTCGCCCTGGCTAACCAGCTAGATTGCTTGCTAGATGACTTAGTAGCTACGGAATAGCTCCAGTTGGCCACGGTCTGGAGCGCTGCCAACATGACTGACAGCTGGGTAAAATGAACTTCGGGGTGATCAACCGATTGGGAGATCGCCTGCATTTGGGTTCATATTTTCTTTTTTTTCTTTCCTTGTTCATTCTTCATTTTACGGTGTGCACATTGCTCCCACCCAGTCTGTCTGTTTGCATCTATTCCCCTCTCTCTCCACCATATGATCTAGGCCCCCTTGTTCCTCCCTACTCTAGGACCGACCGACCCTAGATGAATACGAGAAAAGAGACAAAAAAGAAAGGCAAAGGAAATAAAGGGTGCAATAGTCTTGTTCTTCAGAAACAGAAACACCCTGTCAACTGGATCACTACTGCCCCTGAATCGAGGTCGTCATTTGGAAATTAGAGATCTACTGGCGTACACAAGCGGCCGATTCACCAATCTGGAGATCCTCCCGTAATCCCCACTGCGGCCGTTCGGGGACTGCAGCAGCATCGCTTCTGGACTTTGCTAGACTACTAGCTAGCTACTCTTAGCCAAACCCTCCCCCCTCCGCGCCCCCCCCCTCTAACCGGCTTGTCCACAGCCCGAACCTGGCCCGAAGGGTATCCAGTATGTTCCAGACTGGGCTGTCGCCGTGTTTCGCCTGAACCCTTCAAACACGGGGGTTGAGATCAGTGGAGAACCTCAGGTGCCCGACCTGAGGGAGAAACGGACTCAGCCTCTCCGGACATACTTTTAGCAAAGCGAGACAAAGCCCCGACCGACCGATGTCTTCCGATAATTTGCCTCTCACAACCACTGACATTAGAAGATGACTTGAGACAACTGGGTCCGTTGATTGATGTTGGAACTATAAATCTTTCAACCTTCAACCCGGAAATCAACTTTGTCGGGCATTCCCATCCATGCCTCCTGCTTACTCCAGTCCCCGCGCGGCTCTCTCCGCTTGTAGTTTCTCGAGCCGTTTGACCTTGCGAACATATTTAATGTATTCATCGACTCTGCGCTCCGCCCAGATGCACCCACCCAGCGTCATGGCTCCGATCTGGAGAAACACTTTGAACTGGGGCGTCAAGCCGCGGTAAATCTTCGAAGCGGGGGATAGCCACTCCGAGAAGCCCTCCAACGGGCGATAGAACAGTCGCGAGCGGAGGAACTCTTTCGAGAAGGGCGATTGCTTCGGCGGAGGTTGAGACGGGGACTGCGATGGGACGGGGGCGGACGAGGGCGACGAGAACTTGAAAGGATGAGGGAGGATCATAATCATATGCGCCAGGATGGAGACAGAGCCGAACTACACTGCTGTCAATACAGCTGCCTTTTTTCCCATTCACTCTAGCGCGTCTAGCTGTGCAGAGCAGATGTATAGAAGGAGAAGAAAAGACATACCCGAAAAACACCGGTCATGAAGCCGCGGACAGCCTCGGAGGTGATTTCCTCTGGGGGGTCGACATTATGTCGCTGATCCGAGGGTGGTGGCATTTCAAATATATGCAGTGGCAAAAAGACTACCACTACTTCCGTAGATACAGAATAAAATAAAGAAAAAAAAGAAGAGAAGAGAATAAGTAGTTAATGCATGCACAGCGGACAGAAAAACGACAGACAGACAGACAGACAGGCGCATGGCAGTTCTGCAAACCAATGACGCACAACCCAACCCAAACCCCGACCGACTCGGGTCAACGAAATGCCGAATCATACCTTCTGCCGTACTGTAAACCAAATTAGTAAACCAAATACCGACATCTCCGCGGGTCCGAAACCGCAGTTCGAAAAAAGAATCCTGATCAATCAGCGGGATCGATTACCAACTAACCACCAATTAACTATCCACTACTCAATTGCCTCCGAGATTGTCTACTATCCAACATCATCACACTCTCACCAATATAGACACACCACACCACACCACCCTCCCTACTCTCAGACAAAAAAAAGCACACCCACCAAAATGCCCCTCCCCGCGCGAACCGCCTCAATCACGCGCATAACCAACGAGACCAAAATCCAAATCTCCTTGTCCCTAGACGGCGGCATCCTGCCCCCCTACGAACCATGCGCTCATTTCCCAGCCCCGACGGACCCCGCTGAAGTCGAGGCCTCCAAGAAGGGCATCATCCCCAACAAAGCCGCCCCGCACGCCACACAATTCACCCCGACGCAGCAAATCACCATTAACACTGGGATCGGATTCCTGGATCATATGTTGCATGCGTTGGCGAAGCATGGAGGGTGGAGTTTGGCTGTGAGGGCTAAGGGAGATCTTTTCAGTATGACTACCTTTTTCTAGGTTCTATCTTATCTAGGGGTTGTGAAGTGGAATTGATATGCTAATGATAATGATGGTTATAGTCGACGATCACCACACGACAGAAGATACCTTCCTCGCGCTGGGTTCCGCGTTCACTGAAGCACTGGGTGCACGGCAATCGCTGGCGCGGTTCGGACGGGGCGATGCACCTCTGGACGAGGCGCTGTCGTGGGCGGTGATTGATCTGTCGAGTCGGCCGTGGGCGGTGATCAACATTGGGTTCCGGAGGGAGAAGATCGGGGATTTGAGTACGGAGATGATCACGCATGGATTGCAGAGTTTTGCCCAGGCGGCGGGAGTGACGCTGCATGTGGGGTGCACCTATGGTGATAATGATCATCATCGGGCGGAGAGTGCGTTTAAGGCGTTGGCGGTAGCGATTAGGACGGCGTGTACGAGGAGAGTGGAGGGAGAGGTTGGGGCGGGGGATGTGGTTAGTACGAAGGGGGTTCTCTAAATTATTTTATATAGTATCTTGTTGGTGGAGGCGTCTAGATGGTTCGGTATGTTGAATCAATCACAGTCAATCTTATGCATATAGTATACACTATGTCATGTTATGTTATAGATGACCAGATGGAGGCTCAGGTAGAAACACCCAAGGCTTGCGTCGCCCGGGTCCAGTATGCTTTTCTATCATCGTTGGCATTGGTCCCCACGCAGTCGGTGATGTATGCCGCCCAGCCTGCTTCGGACCCCGACTGCAACTGAGACCGCACACTAGCCGAGCACTGTGTGGTCAGGAACCATGCCCCGGAGCCGAAGTCGTAGTCTTCTTTGGCGAGCAAGAGGTTCAAAACCCCCGTTGGGTCTCCGGATACGCTGGAGAGTTGGCCCGCGAGCGCGGGAAGAGATGCCGCGTATTTGGAGTTGTACGAAGGAGATTGCATGTTTCGTGCTGTATACCATCATTAGCATCTATTGCTATCTATGTATGGCAGGATATGAGAGGAGTGAGACGTACTGCCCTGTCCCGGAACACCGGGAAAGTGGTTCTTGTTATACTTGAAATCGCCGCTTTCAAAAGCCATAAGTGCAATCACGGCTGCTTGCTCGGCGCGAGACGTCACGCCATAAGTGTCAAAAGACTTGGTTATATGCGGGACTGCCTGTTCCGCAGTAGCGCATTCCCCGGCTGCGGGGGGATTGTCGCACGTATTGGACGTGGGTGCAATAGCCTCGAGCTGCGCCACGGTGAGGGCAGAATTATCTCGGACACGGATCCGGCCAGCCGGAGATGCATACGCCAGCAGGGGCATGATGCACATGGTGCTCAAGATTGATGTAGACTTCATGTTGCTTGGATCTCTAGTGAATCAGGACAAAGGACAGAGGCTGTTGAGAATGAAAGACACCGTGAGCCTGCACAAGTACCATAAGGACAAGAAAGGATTATCAACAGGGACAGCGCCTTTATATAAGTCTTTCAAAGCATGTCATTGTTGAGACCTGGCATGCCTGATCAACTCCGCATTCCTGAGGGCGGAGTCAGGGTCTGGAGGGTCCTTCAACAGCCAAAGGCATGTAACAGAGCCTGGCCTGTTGCCACATGTTGGTTGGACCTTTCGTTGCATCTGGCGACACTGCGTTGGCATGTCCGGAGATTGCCAGAAACGCCTTTGGCCCAAATGTATCATGTATCATGCCTCCTTGTGCTGATATTGACAGCGATTGGAGCCTGGCGAACTTCCGGCCAAGGTGAAACGCCCGTCGTAAATCATAAGTCGTGCTTATCTGACCCCCTAACACCTTGATTGGTCGTGTGGAAGATATGATCTGCAGACTGTCTTTTGGAGCCTCGTTCTTCAAGACCGTTATTGGTCGTTGGGCAATGTTAATGGTTGGAAAATGGCCGCAGCAACACAGCACGAAACATCATCTTATATAATCAAGGAGTTGAACAGTCTCGAGACAATCACATATTAGTTTTATTTTGCCGTCCAGCTAGCCCCAGGCGTCTGCAGCTGAAAAATTCGGTTCCGTCTACCCAAAATCGAAAGCAAGTCTATGTAGTAACAGTAAAAGATGTAAGGTGTAAACAGACAGGTGCGAAAGTAACAACTGTGGGTTCAAGAAGAGAAGGTCAAAGAAAGAAAAGAGGAAGGTAAATCCGGACATCCAAGAAAGACAGATACAAGGCGAGCGCGCTGCCTAGCAGGTTGCCTCGCACAGATCAAAGAATCTTGCCAAAAACATGTACAAGCCGTCATGTGCTTCAAGTGAAGCACTGCTGTTAATCCATACCCGAAACTCCGTACATGCACCCCAGAAATCAAATACAACTCCCTGAGCGGATGAGATAAAACACAACTGAGCGGCTATTCCACGGGCACGACGAACAACGGCCGGGTGGAACGTGTCAGAGCGCTAGTAAGGCTGAAAAGGCACGCAAAGCATAGTACAAAGGGCGACGCTTAATCGCGTCGGCTATAGAGTTCGTACGACGTTTCGGTAACGCCGGCGGCCTCCTCGTCTTCTTTGAAGCTGACGCGACGAAGGAGGGTAGGCATCATGCGCCGCCCCATCCTTGTCGGCGAAGACAGGCGGGAAGCCGAAACAAAGGAAGGGATCTTCGAGTAGCGGTAACGGTACTTGGATCCCAACAGCATGATGCGCGCGTACAGCCACCAGAGCGCGAAGCCAACGACGGCAGCCAGGAAGAAACCGCAGACGGTGAGGAACACCCAGTGCTGGCCCATCCAGAAGATCAAGCGGGCGTCTTTTCCGTGCCAGCTGTTGCCCACGTGGTGCGTGAAAAAGCTCCACGAGTACCTGTTGTACTCATCGCGCATCAAGATGCGGACACGGCCTGACTCGCTGGGATTGGTCTGCATGTACTCCTTCCAGATCACCGACAAAAACAGGGGACCAGTCGAGTACATGACCGTGATGTACGGGAGGAGCCAATGGCGGTCATACGACTGCAGCAGCTCGATCGTACGCAGGAAGAAGGGGTGCTGGGGAACAGATCCCATGGCATCATTGGAGATACCGGTGGGAACAGTGCGACGGACCCAGGCAGGGTAGGCAAGAAGAGGATCTAACCGGCGATTGCATCCCTAAGATCCAGTCAGACATAGTCTCAATCAATGAAATAAAGGCTATACACACATCATCCAGATCAATGTAGGTGCCACCGTAGTGTGCCAGGACAAAGTAGCGGATCGAATCAGCACGCTGAATGGGATACTTGTAGCCATCGAACGTCTCGAGGAACCAGGGGTACTCGTTGGCGATGAATTCGCGCGACTTTTCGTTGGTCCAGAGCTGATTGAGATGCGTGTTAGCAAAAAAAGTTCATGTGAACGAAATGTACATCGACAAGGCTGAACATACAATGTATTCGTAGTCTGGGTGCAGATCAATGCAGCTCTGTTGGGCTTCCCTCCATACTTCCGGGATCGTTTCGTTCTTGTATGTCTGGTGGATGATCTTGGGAATGATCTGAGGGCGTTGTTCAATCAAACTGGAGTTTGGCGAGGGGAGCTCGGCGCGGTGGATAGCGTCGGCGGAAGCATCTTCCACCAGTAGGGAAAGAAGTGTAAAGACGCTTCGCACGAGGAATGTGACGATAATGAGATTTGCGATGAGGAAAATGAGAAGTCCACGTCGCATATTGACAGAGAGTGCAGGGGCCGTCAACGACACCTGCTCAATAGGGGAGTGCGCAAGTATACAGAAATGAGGCGGATTCGTATCCCGATGCAAGGACCAATCCTCTGAAGGATTTATTGCAATTCGTAGGTTCGTGGAACGGAGAAAGGAAAGGTGCAGACGGCCGTGAGGGATTGAGACCTAATCGAACGAGGATCTGCTCTTTCCCACGGGAAGGGCCTGATGTTGATGGTGCGATAAGAGTACGCCGGCGGAAAATAGATGCGAGGCTCAACACGGTACTACCAACATAGACTCGTAGGACAGGAGTGGGTGCACCGGCAACGTTTCAAGGCAATTGCAACGTGAGCGTCCGCGGGGGGTGTATTATGACCTGGGGTCGTCAAGGTTGACTGAAGGAATGAACGGCCGTGGAACTTTCTTGTTGGCTCTGTTTCCCCTTTTCTGCTTTTAGTTTACTCTGTAGACGGATGGTTGAGTCTAAGAGGATAAAGCGCAACGTGGGTGACTGAACCAGGAAAGGACCGGCGCAAGGGTGAGAGAGAAAGTTTGGACCAAGAGCAGACCACTTAGTAGTATAGAACTAAGTAGTGGTGGTGGTGGTAATGGAATGGCCTAGGGGAGGTTGATCGGAAGCCCCAATGGCGCTGGACTGCGGGCGGGGGGTGGATTTATTGGGAAAGGTAACGAAAAGAGGAAGCCACAGAGGCGTTGTTTAAGTAATTGTAGCCCAAAACAGACAAGAAGATTGGAAAACAATTAAGTAGTAGAGGGAGTGCGTAAATTACTTGGGTCGCAAGGGTGGGAATAAAAAAAAATAAAAAAAGGAAGGGGAAAAAAAGAATAATAAAATAATGAATGAAGGAATGGAAATTGATAGGCAGAGAGCCAGGTACTTGAGGGGGGGTGTGTGTGTGTGTGGAAGGAACGAACGACGCCTTAGCAACAAAGCAGCGGCATCAACTAGTAAGAAGTAGTAGTAAGGAACGATGGAAAAGGCAGTGTAGCCGTCGAGAAAGTAATCCCTTTGCGAGGGTACCTGGGGAACTGGGAAAAGGGAACGGAGAAAGCCAGCGAGTGAGCGAAAGAGAGAGTAGGGAGAGAGAGAGAGGGGAGGAGGCGGGCGGCGAGTGTCAACAACGGCCCATGGTTACGGGGAGCCCTGAATGGTCGAAAGTGTGTCGAATGGACCGTCATCGGCGCCAGGGGACACAGCTTCGGGTTAAAGGGGGGGCGCAGAAACTAAGGAAAGGCGCCTCTCTGGGGGAGAGAAAGCGAGACCGAGAGAGACACAAACACAGAGTGAGTGAGAAAGAGAGCAAGAGCAAAACAGTGGGGAGACACCAAGCCAAAGAAAAGTGGAGATGCTGGAGTGGATGCTTTAGGTTGGCGCCAGTTGCTAAGCCTCCGCCACTAAGACTCTTTCAGTCGTCTCGATGCCCGGTTTGGTTAGTCTCATTTGCCGACCGGGACTAGCCATCTCGAACTCGTAACTTGTTGAGAATATTACTACTTAACCATTATTATAATGATAATTTATTCGAGTAATGAATAGTAATCAAAAATATTATACAAGACCTTGTTAAATCCAGAGAACAATAATAGTACCTTGTATGAGGGGAGAAAGAGATCCTCCTCACTGCAGTGCCAGTGGCAGACTGCACCGCCATCAAAGTATAGGTACACCCCGAAAATCAACACCTGGTGATCTCATCAGCCTATCGCACTGCCATTCTTCCGGCTGAGCCATGTTCAACGATGACGCCTAAGACCTCGTGGTTCATCCTTCCAGCTGATAAACTTAGTACTCTTTCCGGCGAAAGAAAGAGAGAAAGGGAGTCCCAGCCTGATGGCTGAGCCACTACTACGTAGTACTACTTACTCGGCCGGCGGTTAAACAGTAACTAACCACCAAATCAATAGCTCTCCAGTTCAGTCTAAGTAAGTACGTAGCCTCGTTAAGACGGGACATTAATTAACTGCCAAATAATCCAGTGGTTGGCGACCAGCCGGACTGTGGGGCCACCTCTGGCAATCCCACGGGGCCACGGGGAAAGGTAAACCCGCTTATGTAACTGACGATGACTGGCGGACAGCCATCCACGCTAATCCAAATAGGCGAGGAAAGCGAGGGAGCAAGCAGGAAAAAAAAAAAAGAAGGTAAAATTGGGAGAAATTGGGAGAGAAAATATTTAGAAGAAGCCAAAACGGATCTCCTCACAGATAAGAAAGAATACTTACTAACTACAAAGTCACTAGTCGATAATGAGAAAGTGGCTCCTCCGCCAAACCATTGAGGGGCGATTACGCAGGCCTCGGTGGTTTCACCCCCAATATGCTTCTGGCATTCTCTCCCATGGATCTGTGGCATCTGGTACAACAAGCAAAAAAGAGTAAGTAAAATTAGTTTTATTTGGTTCGGAACATGAATCGAAGACGCCACCACTCGATTTCCCCCCTCCCCAGTTCAGTCTCAGTTCCCCCCTCATCATTGCCGCATCGTGAGAATCTTTGTTGCCTAATTCAGTTCCTCGGTATCGCTCAGTCGCTGATGCGCTCTTTACGCACCGGCGAACCAATTACTCCAGGTAGAAGACGCGTCCTGCCACCATGATGACGGAGCTGGCCTAATTTATGGTTTCTGCACATCCAACGAGCTAGCTAGTTAATAACGGTCGCGACTATTACTGTGCCAATGCGGAACTACGTAGAGGAAAAAGCAAATTTTCCGACAGAAAAAAACAACAACAATAATAGTATGGAGTAGACTACTGTGTAAGAGATTGTTGAGAATTGTTGGGGAACAAGGCGAGTTAGAACGACCAAGTAAATCCTCTCTGTTCGTGACTACTAACTAGCTGGACTAAATCCATAGCGCTGCACGCTACGTCCGGAAGGTCAGTTCTAGGGACTGCAGGAAAGTGTGATAGTCGGTTTGAATCGCATGGACTCATCAAACTAGACAGGTACTAGTTCGGTCGTGGAATTTCTGGGCCATGCTCCATATCTCCCTTGACCCGTAGTTCCCAGTACTGCAATCCAAGTGTCAACGACTCAACCACTGCAGCACAGTCTCAATTACTCCGTACTACCATCTACTTTCCATTGATTTCCTGTCTGTTTTTCGTACTTTTGACGCTCACCTTTCTGCCGACACCGCGGAGCTTCTGCTGTCGAAGCCGCCCGTGCATAAAGTTCCAGGTAGCATTTCGAGAGAAAAGCAATTGTCCTTGTGTAACACGGCAGCTGCCGCATAATCGACCATGTTGAAGTGACAAGCCAGATTACTGGCAATCGTTCCAGAAGTAAGCCTATCACAGCGTTTGGCTACTTCCCAGATGTAAGTACTACTACTATGCACTGTATGTCTAGTGGTGATGCCGGCGGCAGCCGTCAATTGCAACGGTGATTGGACATGATGCAGGCTGTAATCTAGTTTGTAGATAAACCATGTGCACTTAAGCAGGATTGAGTGGCTAGCCGTATGTGATCTATCTGTACCTACTTACAGTAGATAGTAGTCGTGTCGTCCTGCTGTCGGTTTGCCCTACCACACAGTTAGCCAGTATCTGCTTAGTAGTTCAGATCCAGCTCGGTGTCTCAGGCAATTACCATTTAAGGCAGGTCCAATACACAGCCCAGCCCAAACTTCGGCGTCTAACAGAGCAACACGATTGATTGTGATTGATTGGCATTTGCACTGATTTGCCGATGTATAACATCATATCTGATGTGCCCGGCAATGAGCGAGTAATCACAGCGGGGCAAAAACGACCAGCACAGCCCACTGTGCTTCCTTCCCTTCCTTCCACGCGACGAGCGATCAGGCAGAAGTGGGAAACGCTTTATCCATCCAGAAAGGCTTGTTTGTTCATTCGAGGATCCATATTTAGAAGAGAGTCAACTCAGTCAGTCAGACAGACCACTCGCCACCTGAAATTAATGGAAAAATTCAATTTGTCCAGGGTTGTCTGTCCAGCCACAATCTGGTGTCGGAGGTTCGTGGCTGGGACACAGGTGTATCTTGGAGACAACTGGGATGGATGGAGAACGTTTTACCCGCCGAGCTTGTTACAGCCATTGATTGCACCCCCATGGACCCTGGTCGGGATTTCCAACTCCAAGTTTGGTTGCCGGATTGCCATCTGGCTGGCATGAATTTACGAGTACGAGTTGCTGAGAGACGGGGAATCGGCGGTCGGTGGTTAACCCGCCGACACACCAGGTACCACCAATGTTATTCTCACTGTTTTTGTCTTGGTGGGAACTTCGCTGGCAAATTCATCCGAGCTCCACTGATATCAGATTTGACAGGTTAGGCGGGCTTTGAAGTGGGTTAGTGGTGGGTACTGCAACAAGTATTTTTGGCGTGGGGTCGTCGTAACCTTTCCATGTGAAAGGCAAAATGGTTCAAACAGGGCCCGGGGAGAAAAAGAGGGCCAGACAACAAAAACCCTCCAACAGGGTGCAGTACTAATATAGGTATCACTTAGTCTAACTGCTAAGATAAGTCTCATGCAGCCATGCTTTTGCCACTAGATATCCGCCCAAACTGGGGGGCCGTTTCACACTTTATCCGACCAGCAAAGCACATCCACGAACCTGATAAGTCTATCCCCAGAAAAATGCCAAGTCTTTTTTCTACACCAAAAGATAAAGAGAAAAGGGAAAAAAAAGAAAAGGGAAAAAAATCGACGGTTAAAAGAAACCCACGGGCCCACATCCACACATGGAGAGAAGGGGGCCTTAATCCATGCTACCAGGAGACACATCCAATCAGACCTTCTCACATACCCAGATTGGCGCAAGAAAGGCACCGATCTGACTGAGTGGCTGGCTTTTGATGTTTAGGCCCACAGGACGAGGAGAAAAATACTAGGATTGGAATGCATGGCAACGACCCGCGGTTGTCGAGTCGCATGTTCTTTTGTGCCAGATTTCTTCTGATTTGTAGTTCAATTGGGAGTGTCAGACACGCCTAAATTTTATCTATCCCTTGTGGTGTGTTTCAACCGACCAGAAACGAGCCCCGGTGGTTCCCCCGTTTATCCCCCCTGATTGGTGCCTTGGGTCCGTGCCTCCCACGTACTCGTATCTCGATTTGCTATTCTGCCTCCTGTCTTTCTTAGACAAGGTAGAATATTGACTGATTCGTCCATGATAATCTCATCCCTATCACAAAGCAAGAACAAGAGATCATAGACACACCAAGAAAAAATCATCCATTCCATCTCACTAATCTGATTACCCGCAGACGAGGGGCCTAATCTCTCACTCAGCCCTCGTCTACTAACGTCTAACGCATCCAAATTTAGTAAAAATGACCTACTACCTATCCATCTGTCTATCTTGCTAACCGTTTCGGCCTTCTCATCCAATAAAAACAAGTATATAAACCAAGTGTTCTGTGTAGGGGAATATGCACCATCATGGACCCCTGTCCCCGTGTTGATTTGTTCATGTCAATCACCCCCCACTCTCACCCGATGATCTGTAAGTCGGATGAGGTCAGAGCATGCTTTAATCCCGCACAAGAAGATACCAATGTGTAGATAGCTAGTCTTCATGGTGAGAGAATTAAGACTATCTTGTCTTTGATCGGCCAAAGCGTCTGTCTCTGACTGGTTGATCAACGCTCAGGCAGAGAAGTATTGTCATGGTTGTTCTACATGGTAACTATACCGGTGGTGCTATGTAACGCGGGGAAAGAGAGGAAGTCCAGATCGATCGATTGGATCAAACCATACGATACTGAACTAGGGGCAAATCCTGGATACAAGTCTGTATGGCATTGATTAAAAGTGGGAAAGAAGAAAGTAGAAAGCGACATTGGGATAGACATTGCGGAGAATTTACCCCAAACTTCGAGCTTGCACCCTGGATCGACACGTGGGCCGCCCGTTCAGGTAATTGGGATGCTACGATATTCCTACTGCATATGGGAGAGCAGCCTCATGCGTCCATGCGTTCACGGCCCCCCTCCTCCCCTCTCGCAAAATGTAAATTATCAGCTAAAAACATGACTTGGGTATTTTCATTGAACTACTAGCTGATTGATCGCCATGATAGTCTGTCTCTCTTACAGACACACCTGTTACTAACCCCCGCAGACAGAGCGCCCGCTATTGCCTTGATGATACTCCTCTCTTCCTTTCTTGCACATCTTCCCCACAAGTGATCCCAACTCCTTCCACTGGTTGGCGAAATAAGTTGATTGCTCTGCCTCTCGCATATTGATACTCGGGGACTCTGACGGTCTTGTCCTTGCGGCATTTCTAATAGGAGGCCAGAGCGCAATCAGCCACGGCGGCGTGGGGGCAGATCAAATGACTCTCCCTGGACAAGACAAGCCACACGATAAGAAATCCCATCAAGTCTGCCGCCGTGATCCTTGCTTATATCCTGACAGTATTAACTTCTCATGCTTCGCGCGTGTCGGCGCGAGTAGTTGGCAGTACACACATATATGCTGACGTTTCCAGAGCGATTACGCGGACGATTCTTTGCATCGCCATGCAGTAAATGCCCCAGTGGGGTGCACAAATAGCTCACCGAACTTCGGGTGCAGCAGCAGCGGCGAATTCCCCGTTGACGTTGGCAGCGTCGGTGCCTCGTTCCCCGGGCCCTGACTCAAACAGACGCACCCACCACATAGGAGGATCGAAAGGACGGTGACCACCGTGAAGCGAAGGGTAAACATCGTTGAAGAAGTACCAGACGTGGCCGACGACAACGCCGCAGATTTCATCCTTGGGCACGATGCCATGGACGACCAGGCTGAATGCCATCAGAACCCAGGGGAGATAGGGGGCGGTGAAGACCAGCATTCCTAGGAAGCTGAGGCGAGTTTCCGGGTTGCGACGACTCCAGATGTAGACCAGACTGGAAGAGAGAGCCGTGCCCAGGAATGGAAGGGAGAGAAATGGCGAGAGGACGAGGAGAGAGGCCATGGCGTAGAACAGAAGCCACGAGAAGTGGGCCGGCGATCGCCCCGATGATTCCTCCAAGAGGCGCGAGTATCGCTGCAAGAAGAACACATGAAATAGTAAGTCGAGATTGAGTGGTCCGAAGTATAGGAAGGTTGTGAACAGACGCCAATACTATGCGATGGTTAGCCGCGTGATTCGTCTACCCTATACAGTGGACGGAAGTACTAGCTGCGACGTACCTGAGACTTAACATAGACTGCGCGGAAGCTATAAAACAGCTGGAATGGGGTGAGGACGTGACATTGGACCAAGACTGAAGTGGCAACTGTGGCTGCTGTCCACCATCGAGTTACAGGGGGCATTTCATAGAACCATTGCTCCAGCGGGAACTGGCCAGCCTGCCCGCCGTTACCCCAGATGGCGGCCATAATTGATGGGTAGTAGAGTTGCGAACGTTGGGATTAACTTAGGGGGGAGGTTGCTCGGGTGGCGGGTACGATGCGACGAAGCGGTAAGCGAAATAGAGAGGATGCAGACAGTCGTCTTTTGGCGTTTAAGGACTCGAGAGAAGACGGGCGAGTATGATCGATAAGGGGATGATGCCGAATCACCACTAAATAACTGCCAGTTTAGTTCCGCCGTAATCGCCGAGCTCCAGCTGGCCTTTTGGCCTCAGGTGTCACCTGTCACTCCCCGGCCCATATGTCACGTGTCGCTCCCGCGCGCTTCGACGCCGCAAAGACGCGCCTCGCACGCGTCCGGACAAGAATTCGGATGGCTGGGGATTCCATCACTTCATAGTCCGTTCGGCCTCCCGGATGGGTCCCTCTCTCGCATGCAATCTCATCCCTGACAAACGCTCCTCCGCGGTTTTCGCCTTGCAGCTTATTTCTCGACTGTGCCAGTCGATCGCGCCCAGAGCTCAATTCATTCAAAGCCTCAGGCCGCCGGAGGACGACGAGTTGGCGCACCACCTCAACACCATTTAACCTTAAAGCGTCATTGACTCGCCCGGCGCGAAGGAGCTCTACAAAGCTACCCCTCTTTCGCCCCTCTCGCCTTGAACACCCCAACCGGCCAATTGCTCGCCCAAGCGCTAAACAAGTCAATATGCCTCCCAAGACAGGCGGTCGCGGTCGCAAGAGCATTGTGGCGGCGCCGCGACAATCAACAGCTGGCGACCGTGCTGCCGCAAGCTCGTCGAAAGCAGCTGCAACGACGTCGCCGGCAGCTAAAAAAGTGCGCAAATCCACTGGACCGGCTAGGGGAGGGAAAAGGCCTGCTGGAAAGGCACCCAGAGAGTCCGACGTTCAGCGTGCGTACCCCCACCTTCAATCCAAAATCCTCTCTGCGCTCTCTCTCTCTCCTGAAGAATGAAAATTGACATCCTCGCAGCTGGTGATCCCACACCACAAGGACGTGTACGCCGCTACAAGCCTGGAACCGTGGCTCTCAAAGAGATCCGCAAGTACCAGCGCTCTTATGATCTGCTTATCCAAAAGCTTCCTTTTGCTCGGCTGGTCCGCGAGGTCGCTCTTGACCTCCTCCCTTCAGAAGTTGGCGCCGAGCTGCGGTGGCAGTCGCATGCGATCCAAGCGCTCCAAGAAGCAGCCGAAGCTTTCCTTGTACATCTCTTCGAGGACACCAACCTCTGTGCTATTCACGCCAAGCGCGTGACCATCATGCAGAAAGATATCCAACTTGCTCGACGCATTCGTGGTGTCTGGGGTGGTTTGGGCTAAAAGTCTTCCGTTACCCTTGCAATTGATCGAAAGGAGAAGAAGTCAAGAAAAGAAAGAAATCGAGACAAAACGCCCAAAACAAAAGCGAGTTTCTCTACTTTCACAATCTACCTACTCTACCCTACCACCTCTCTGATCTCATCACTCTATCTTACTTCTCTCCTTTTCGAATTTTTTATAATCAAGCAGTGGGCGTTCATCATCACTTTTTGCTGCCAATTGGTGTTGTATAGGGTTGCAGGCGTATGGGAAGGTTACGGGGTCTTGAGGCGAACCGCGGGGTCTTTCTTTGTTTTTGATGCTGTTACAAACTTCTCACCGATTTTGATCTCATTTTATCTACCTACCTACCTCTTGTTTGATTGATTGTTGACTCTATGCCGTTGACTACCGGCTGGGTCACGTGTGCGTGTACAATACAACCTACTTATGTCCGTTGAATCGAACATGAGAGGTGTACTATCTATTCCATTTCATATATGGTCGAATCGGATCGATCATCCTGTGTATGCCAAGTCCTTCATGGATGCACTTGGATGTCTGATGTTATTGATCAAGAATCAAAAGAATCAAAGTCACCTGAAACCGGGATCTTATTGTATCACTATTTATTCCCATAAATAGAACAACTCACACGCGCACTCCCTTTTATCAATGTCACCATGACGCCGTACTCCCCTCATAAATAGCAATAACCTCACAGCCCAGACAGATAGAGCAGATAGACACATGGATAGAACAGCCCAACATGGTATCATGAACTGAACTTCAGCCGTAAACACCACTACATAGATATAGAAAGCATGAAAAGGAAAGGGAAAAGGGGAAAGAGAAGAAAAGGAGGCTGGGAATGTAGAAGAGGTAGGTAGGTAGGAATTACAAAAAAAGGGCTAAATAGCAAAGCAGGAAACCGCCACTACCAGCAGTAAGTGGTAGAAAGGAAGAAGAAAGAGAACAAGAGCCCGTATCTATACAGGTCTCTTCAAAGCAGACGGCAATCCCATCATCACGCGATGACCTTCTTCCCGTACACCTTTGGCCTCCTCATTCTTTCCTTGACGTTCTAGCGTTTCGGCTAGCATTTCGTCGGTCACGCTGACCCAGAGCCGGTCGTTGGCTTTCTTAGCCATGGCGCGGCCCGCTCGGGCACTTTTCTCGGCTTGTTCGCCGACGACGCCACGGAAGTATTTCCAGCTCATGAAGGTTAGGGTCATGCAGGTGATTTGGCTGTTGCTGATTGCTGTGGCGGATTGGAGGGCTTGTTGCAGGTATTGCTTGGTTTGAATCGTGGACTCGGTCTGAACGGTTGCGCAGACCAGGTAGTATGCTGCTTGGATATACTTGTTGGGACTGCCGGTGCAAAAGGATTCCACGGTAGATAATATGGTGGGTAGGTGGGAGTGAGAAGGGTGGGTGGGATCACGGAGGATGAGGACGGTGTTTAAAGCAGCGAGAATGGCGATGTCGCGGCGTGGCTCATTGCGCGCCGTCTTGCTGAAGTTAGTGGATAATGAGAGAAGAGGAGATTGGAAGGCGTTCAGAGCTGCGGTGAGGTCGCCTGTTGCTTGTGCAATAGCACCGGTGGCATACTCCATTAGGCACTCGACGGTATCTGGGAGCTGGTCGCCAAGTTCCTGGCCTTCTTCTCGAAGTTCCTTCAATGTCTTGTTGGCAAGCTCCCAATCTGTGCGACCGCATGCAAGAAAAACCTGCTGGACGAGCAGGTTGCAATAGAGAAGCCTGCGCCACTGAACGCGTCTATTCGCACTGACCACCGATTCTGTGATCTCTTGTGGCGCCTTGAAACTTCCTATGACAACACCGTCAGTAACACATTTGGAAGGATTCGAGATGATCTTCGCCGAATCCAGGTGTACTAACCCTTCAACATACGAGTGCCCTCCTGCAAGAACTTCTCTGCCTTGCGTCCATCATATGAGTTTTTGCAGCTCAGTGTGATCGAACTAAGGAAGTAGCAGAGCGCATAAAGGTCGTGCTGGGGTAGCCAATTGAAGCTTAACAGCAGCGTGCCGCTCTGGACCTGGAGGATGTCCCCGGTGTCGATGGAAGACGGACCGGCCGACTTGCCATTCAATGGGATTGAGAATGATCCATCGCTGCGCCAATTCGAGTCATTCAAGCGTTCGTCCATCAAATCTTGCAGCACCTTCAGCTTTTGCGATGATTGATTGATGTCGTATTCGAGTAGACTGCAGCAAATATCGACAATTTGGACTAAAGTCGTTAGCTGTGGGATATGCCGGAGTTCATCATTGAGTTGGTGACTCCGCGCTACGGCTACCGCACGCTGGGCTTGCTCGACGGAGTCAAACCCGGATCCTTGCTGGAGGTGCGCGAGAGCTTCGATTATCGCAGACATGGCTGAGACAGCCCTATCACCATTGCGGCTAGCCATGGTGGCAATCTTGTGAAGGTGCTGTAGTGCCGACACAGAATCTTGATGGGCCGATGAGGAAAGTGAAAGGGACACCCGAAGAAAACGAAAAGCGTATTCCCAGGCGGAGTGGCGATACCTAACAGGTTCAGCAGATGACGAGAGAATTGGCGATACCGGTACATACGCTTCGACATCTTGTATCATCCCATCAACAGCTTTCAGTGAGGCCTTTGGATTCGTCTTATACAGCATTCGCGCCAACAGATGTTGCATGCTATATTTCAAATCAAGCATCCGATTCTACATTAATCAGTACCTCATAATCGCAATGGCTCCGCGAATGGAGAAGATGATATAGGCTCACCCTTTCGCAAAGGTCAATCTATAAAGGGAGGTTAGCAACAGCGAGAAGATGCAGGGCAGGAGTTAACTTACACCCTTGCTCAATGCTGTCTCCGCTTCAAGGTCGTTGTCTGTTTCCTCAAACAATATACGGGCATAACGTAATCGGACTAGAGCTTCAACACGGGGCTGAAGTCGCCAGTTCTGCGCCACATTAATAAGCATCACCACAACATAAGTATGGTTACAGAAGTCAAGGGTTAATCAAAAGTCCCCGCGTACCTTGAGAACGGCTTCCAAGCAACCAAGACCTGTAGCAACTAATTTGTAATATTCGTCCATCTCCATCTCCCGCCTTAACAAGGCTACCAACGTGCCATGACTGTGAGCAGCATTCAGATACTCATCAGCCATGGCCAACAGCAATACTTGATAGTCGATCGGCGTGCCTGCTGATTTTTGGGTCGGTTTTTGGCCAGTTTGTCGCTGCGCTTGCTTCTTGATGGGTGGGCGCTGAACTTTCTGCTGCACTTCTGGGGTAGGAGCTGGGATTAACACCTGGACAGGCTTAGGGGACGGTGCTGGAGGAGTCTGAGCGACAGGTTTGGCGGCGGCTGGCTTAACGGGGACAGGGTTGGCAGCAACTGGTTTGGCAGCAGGAGCAGGGGCAGGAGACGCAGTCGCAGCCACAGCCGCAGCAGCGGGAGGTGGCACTTGGACTGAAGGCGTAGTAGATGTAGGTTGAGGGTAATTGTTGGGAGTTTGATTCGCTTGATTTGGACTCGGGGCGGAATAGTACGTGGATCGGGCGGGGGTAGAAGTAGGGAGGACTGGGGAGCGGCTGTTGCCTGCAACAGACACCGCTGGTTGTGCAGCATATTGGGACGGACTATTGGTGAACTGAGGAGGCGAGGTAGAAGCAAGCGGTGGTGGGTTGAATAGATCCGACGGATTCACATATTGCTGTTGCGGCTGCTGCTGGGGTGGAGGCTGTTGAGGTGGTGGTGGTGGAGGTTGCTGTTGTTGCGGCGGCTGCGGGTTATACGTCTGCGCGTAAGCAGGATACGCCGGGATCATGACCTGGGGATAGACCACCGGCTTCCCATATTGATATGGCGAAGCGCTCGTATTGACATTGCTGTTGTACAGTAGCTGCTGCGGGTGGATGGTCTGCTGGTGATGCGGCAGATTGGGGGGTTGCTGCATGTACTGCGAAGGATATGGGCCGTTATGGGGTGGTGGGTAGCTCATCGCCCCAGGACGCAGACAATGCTCATCAATCCACTGCACTCTGCTATTCCCGGGAAGTATATATAGCGAGACGACGAGGATGCTTCTATTTTTTGGGAATGACTCTCTCTTTCCTGTTCTTCTGGATCGCGCCGCCTTTTCCGTTTCCGCGTCGGGTCGGAGAAACCCCCGGGCGGTCAGGTGAGGCGCGATCAGGTGAGTTCTACGAACCATGGACTAACTTGGCTGATTGATTGCTATCCTTGCTGCATGACAATAAGGGAATGTAGGGAGAAGCTCCCTGTTCTTCGACGGAACAACCCGCATCATCTAGAAGTCTAGAATATGGATTCTTTCGAAGCTGCATACGGAGCATTATATCATGTGCATTGGACCGGGTCTTGCCGTAAAACCCTCTCTCTAGCTAATTATACTATATCCCGAACATCTTCCATCTAGCAAACAAGCCGACATCACGATGGAAACAATGATAATACACCCTTCCAAGCCAAACTATTCAACTCGAAAGTCCTTGCATAACGCCGAAACCAGATCCGTCTAGAATACATCACACACATGAGATTCGTGACCACACCAATCAACCCTAAATCATACTGATCGAGGTATACAGCTGATTCATCGACTGATCCTGTATAGCGGGGTTGAGGATATTCATATCCAAAGACGGTGCTTCTTCCAGAGGTGGATGTTCTCGGATCGTCCACGGGCATAGCTCACTGCAATTTGCGACATCGATTAAATTCTCCGCAGGATGGATTCGTTGCGCGGCCCATGTCTGATCTGGGACAGGCCCCGGTCCACCAAGGCACCTTTCAGTATAAAAGTGGTATGTTGCTTGTCCCGTTTCCTCGTCGACTCGACATGGTTGTTTGCGAGGACACCTCAGTGAGGCATTGCACGTATTACATACGGATATTCGCTTGCAGGATGCGCAGTGGTTGTCATAAAGGCGACAGAGAGTGGTCTGGCATACACTCGAAAGCCATAAGTCAACCGACCGGTGAGCACAACCAAAGCGCGGCGTCATGTGCTCTTCCTTGCCGAGCTGGCCGGAACCCGTGCGCAAGCGGTACTCTGTCTTAATCTTCAACTGGTCTTCGTCGTCCAGCTCAGGATAGATCTCAATATCCAGCTGTGTTGATCCGTAGTCCTCAGTGCAACTATGCCAGCAGAAACGCTGCTGTTTCATCCCGGATCCAAATTGGACCGCCAGGTCCGTTATGGTTTTCCTTCGTACTCTCAAAAGTTCAACAAGTTCCATCTTATCCTGGAAAGTCAGTTTCTTGCAAGGACATAGGTCTACTATGCCTGCCGAACTCCCTAGGTTGCATGACCTATCCTCGGACTTTCGTTTCAGCTCTCGTGCGGGAAAGAAGCTCCTCGGATGGAGCTTCAAGCATCGAGAACATGCCCGCCACCTGTTATCTTCCAGCAAGTTTATGAATTGCCAGCGTGGGGTGACGAAATTGTGTCCATTGCGATAGTGGTGGAAAAGTGGTGCGAAGTCTCGACTGAAATGGAGGGGTTTGGCACCCAGGGTAGCACCGCATATCGAGTAGAGGCGTTTACAGGTCAGCGCCAGACATGCTTCGGGCAGCACCGACAGGTGAGAAATAATTTCTAGGAGCAGCTCGGTCGGTAGCGCGAGGAGATAGCAGTTGGTGATAGTGTCTGTATCGCCGACTTTCCCTTCATACTGGGTTTTCGCCCAGCGATTCATCTTTGCGATGGACCTCAATCGTTCCCCAGCACGGCGGAAACTAGATCCCATATCAACCGGCAGATCTGACCTCATTTCGTCGATTGTGGCAGACTGTATCGTCTGTATGTAAGTAACAGGGAAATCGAGGTATATGTGCTGTGATCTATAGTCAAAATGTAACAAGGACTCAGAAGAAGAAAGAGTACCAGCCCGTTTTCTGCTGGATTTGGGGCATCATGGTGTCCTGGGAAATATAACTGAAAGCAAGCCACATGACAAACGAGTTGTCAAGAGGAAGACGGGACAGAGGGCCTTTTGACCTTCAAAAAGTAACCTTCGCAAAGGTTGTAAATTCGCACGCAAACGGAGCACGCGCCGGGGTCACAGCGTAGTAGAGACCGTCAGGATTACATACAACAAGATGGGTCTTCCGTTGGACCAAAGAGCAGAAGGGCGATTGTTTGATCAAGCTCCTTATTGGCGACTGCATCCAAACAGTCTACGGATCTAGACTGCTATCGTATCAGTTCATAGAAAGGGTTTCGCCCGACTGGGGAACGGCTAAGGAAGTCTATGATGCTATCGGATTAAGGCCTACACTGAGCTTCCGCATCCGGGCCTGTGTTTACCGCATCGATCTTGCAGCGACCCGCAACCCACCCTTGGAAGAATGTTCATGCTTCTAAAAATGCAGCAGTATGTTGCGACACCATTTTCTGGGACCGCAAGACAAGATGGGATGAAAGATGCAACATCAAGTGACGTCGATCTGGAGGGTGTCTTTTGGAGGGGCCTCATGATCCATAGCTGAGTCATCTGGTACTGCTGACTGATCGGCGCGATAACGATAAGGCCCTGTCTGATAAGCACATCAGATGAGCCTTACTGGATGAGGCAATGAAGCCGAGGCAATTAAGATGGATGGGTCTTTTTCCATCCCAATTCTTTCACTGTTCGGAGTCGCAGTGGTTCCCCGTTTCCCCTTTTTAGAGCTGCAGGTGATTATAGCGTGCTAGTGCTTGTTCTATAGACTCTTCTTTTGGCGTTGCATTACAACCAGATCCGATCCTCCATGTCATTTGTTGACACCCCCATCAGCCTCCTAAGCACATTCTCCATACCGCTTCTTGTGGCGGGCCTGCTGGGAATGGGCCTGCTCTCATGGATCCGCCCTAATGGCCGGATCGCATACTATCATGCGAAAGATAATAATCTTCTACTGACCACAAAGGCTGAGAAGTCAAGATCCCAGACGCAAGTGACTCTGGCAGACCTCTGTCGCACTGCCACTCCGAAGACGTGCCAGCTGAACCCCTTCCTTTTCAACGGCCATCTACAGACTGCCTGGACAAGCGTGAAATTTGATAATGTCCCGGTGCACTACAAGCGCTGGATGTTCGAGGCTGAGAATCCGATGTTGTCTGGGCACTTTGCGATGGACTTTGTGGTAGATCCATATGAGCCGCCTAGCGACGCTCATGCGACTGATAGCGAGAGAAAATATACTCAGCCATCGGGGCTACCGGAGCGGACGTCATTCTTCTCAGAGGATGAATTTGCTGCGCTTCCCTCGGACGATAACAAACCGATGCTCGTGGTTCTCCATGGCCTAAGCGGTGGATCACATGAACTTTATCTGCGCCATGTGATTGCGCCTCTTATCAAGGATCAGACATGGGAAGCTTGTGTCGTCAACTCCAGAGGCTGCTCGCAAACCAAGATTACCACCGGTGTGCTTTACAATGCTCGTGCTACCTGGGACATTCGTCAGGCTGTCAAATGGCTACGGAAGACTTTTCCGAATCGTCCCTTGTTTGGAATTGGTTTCTCCCTCGGCGCGAACATTCTGGCTAATGTAAGTCTATGTTAGGCACAAGCAACCAAGATTGACTGACGTGATCGTAGTACTTGGGCGAGGAGGGCGATGCCTGCGAGTTGAAAGCTGCAGTGCTCTGTGCTAGCCCTTGGAACCTTGAAATTGGCTCTCTAAACCTGCAAAACACCTTGATCGGTCGCGAAGTCTACAGTAAAGTAATGGGCACGAGCATGAAGGACCTGTTCGAACGGTAAGTGAAATATTCCTGACATTGGCATTGCCACATCTGACTCGAGACCATCAGACATGTGGAACAGGTCTCCAAGAACCCGCGAATCGACGTTGATGAGGTGAGGAACATCACTTACTTGCATGAATTCGACCGGTAAGACATGACTGCCAGCTTTTCTACAACTGCACATTTTTAACATTAGCCACAAATAGGGCTTTACAATGTGCCTCGTGGGGCTATCCCACTGAAGGAGCATACTATCGCGATGCTTCCTCCACCGATGCTATGCTTGGTATTCGAATTCCATTCTTCGTTATACAAGCCGAAGACGATCCGGTAAGTGCAGGTTTTAGCAGTCGAATTATATACACTAACCGGCAGCAGATTGCCTGTGCCGCTGCACTGCCATTCCAGGAGATGACACAAACCCCGTACGGCGTGATGATGACTACCTCTTGGGGTGGGCATCTTGGCTGGTTTGAGCTTGGAGGTGGTAGATGGTTTGTGAAGCCGGTATGTGAAAGCCACCTACCACTTGTCTATCTACATCTAACTGTTTCAGGTCGCGAATTTCCTAAACCTCATGGCGAAGGAGGTCGATCTTAGCGTACCATTCAAGGTTGAGGATCCGGAGAAGATCCCCGGTCATCTTGCCCACCATACGGGTCCCGAAAAGGACGCAGATACGGCACCGAAGCCGAAATTTATTCCTGCGCAACGCAAGCTCGACCTGCAAATCAGGCCATAGTCAACACTATTGCATAACTGAACTGCTCCCATTGATAGGATCAGTGCTTCAATTGGAGAGATGCTCATCATGTGTCATGCACGCCGTTGTTTCGGAAAACATAGACCAGTATAACGCCAGAGACCCATCTAACTACATAGACCCGGTATAGACAGAATTACTTTTGTACATAGAACTTCAAGCAAATGCAACGCTCTTCTTCTTTCCTTTTGACTTCGAAGATGACTCCTTGGTTGGCGCCTCAGCCTTTGTTTCGCTGGAGCCTCCCTTGTGCTTGCGTTTTTGGCGGATGGACTGCTTTGCATCCTCCTGTTCGGGCCAAACCAGTTAGCAACCCTCAAAATATAGTCCTTCAACGGGACAAATAGGAAATAATGAGCATATATACGCACCAGCTTAGACTTCTTCTGCGCCTGTCTAGCCTCTGCCTCCTTTCTCTTAGCCTCACGGATCTCCTCCAACTGGCGAGCCTTCATCATCTTGGATTCGATCTGTCCTTCCTTCTCCGCATTTACCATAGCGAGGATAGTCATCATTCCCTCCTATTGTAACATCGTTAGCCAATGCGACATTCATAGAACGGCCTAAAAAGTAGATGGAACACGTACCGCATCGTCAACGAAAGTCTTGCCCTTCTTCTTGCCCTTGGGCTTTACCACACCGACGGGGGTGATCGCATTCAGCTTGGGCAGTCCCAGCTCCTCCTCCGTATATTCTCTCTTCTTCGTCTTCTTCAGCAGGCTAGACTCTGTGCGCGCCTTCGACTTGACTTCCTTGGGCGGCGGGCGCTTGGCGGTTTTCTTGTTCACTTTCGATGCGGACGAGAGAGGCTTGCTCTTCTTTGCGTCGCCCTTGTTCGAGGCCTTGCCACTGCCGGAGCCCTTAGTCGGCGCCATTGCTTCGGTTTAGCTCTGCGTGTCGGGATTGACGATATGGAAGGTATCGAAAGAGGGAGACGAAAATCTGGATTGTCGCCTGCGATGGTGGGGGAGCGGAGAAACCAGCCACAAAAGTACAGTCGCCCGAATAGCACGAAAACCACGGACCTCAGATATACCCAGAAGAACGTAAATAAACCGAATCCAAGGCGAAGAAAAGAATTGAACGATGAAGCCCCGGACCCTCCAAGATCACGCCTCCGAAAGAGAAATTTTTTGAAACAGGCAGGCGGTGAGCCGCAGACCGGGACGCAGGACCTCCACCACTTCGATCTCCTCGCATCGTCACCTTAAGGTTGGACCATCGACTTCCCTTCCTTTTCCCCATTCGCTCTCCTCCCCCACCGCGGTCTTTCTCTCCCCTCTCATCTCAAGTGTGCCATTGTCGAGCCTCACCACCGGGCCACTATTCAAGATGACCATCAACCCGACCTTCCTTGCCCAGCGCACGCGCTCCTGTACGTTTTCCCTTCCTCCCAGGACTCGGTTGTCCCGACCAAGTCCGACCTTTAGAAATTGCCGCGACGTCAATGGCCGGAATCCCGAGCTGACCTTTCTCGCCCTGTGTAGCTGCCAACTGGGGTGATGCGAAGCACCGTGTCCTCAAGTCCTACAGAGAATGGCTTAGAGCGGTCAGTGATCCTTATACTCGATGATTTACCTATGCATCATCACCCAATGCCCGTTCATCAATGGCTTGCTGGGGCCTGGCGTTCCCGGCGTGGTCGTCGACCCTTTCGCGTCTACCAGACAGAACCTGCGACGGACCAAATCCCAACTTCGATAATTAGCATTCTACGAGAAACGCTCAGACTAACATGGTCCCATCCAATTGAGATGATATAGTCCCCCGAGATTCAGACTATGTACTCTCTGAACCTCCCCGTCTCCGCTATCCGTACGAAGATCCGCCAGGAATTCGAGAAGCACCGCTACGTCAACCAGCTGAACGTTGTTGATGTGCTGTTGTACCAGAGCCACGCTGAGTTCCAGGTGAGTTTATGAAAAGTGGGCAGTGTAGCGATACTCAATTGCTGCCATTGATGCCGCCCAGCCCGACCAATTGAGCCTCATATGGTATAGATAATGTGTCCTGACCAACATCAATAGGAAACCCTCAACTACTGGAAGCAGCTGTCGCATGTGATGAAGTACTTCCGTCCAGAGGAGGACCCCGGTGCTCGGCTACCTCCCAACTTCATCTCGGGCTTCTTGGAAGGCCGCAATTGAAATTGTGAAATTATTATCACCATCATCTCTTATCACCTCTTTTTATATTTCCCAGTATCCTTAGCATTGAAAGTTCTCTGACGGCTGCGAACGCTGATAGAGTGTGTGAGTGTTATGTAAATATTGTCTGACTACATGATGTTTCGGTTGTTGAATTACTCAAGGGTGCTTGCATAGTAAGCATGTAGACTGTATTCGTATGACTTGCGATTCGGCGTGAGGACGGTGTTTCTTCCTATTACCTCTTGGTTAGACTATCACAAAGAGCCCTATTCACATGACCAACCCAGATATCTATGAGCATATAGTAGTAGATGCTACCTATGGTATCCCTCACTCCCTCCCCATCAATAAGTACCACTGCATCTCCAGCCAACCAATCAACCAACCAATACACCCACAACAAACCCCATTACATCTAACCACCCCAAGAGAAAAAGAAAAGAAGAAGAAGGAAAAGGTATAACTTTTCTATACACACACAACGCCATCATATCCCATCAAACAGCAAAAACATGACACACACACAGATCAAAAGCCAAAAACCACCCAAAAGTCTATAATATGTATATATATGCCTAAGCCTCCATGCGATCCGCCTGCGCAGCATTAAAGTCATCACGGGCAGTCGTGAACTTGTCCGTCACGACATCACAGAGGTCCATTAGAGTGTCGAGACCTTTCTCGAGGGCTTCGACGGCGGTGGTAGTTTCTGTTTGTTCATTCGTTAATACAGGTGATCTTTATTCTGACGGAAAAGAAGGTAGGAGGGCGGGAAGAACAAACCATAAGTCTGAATACGAAGGTTCATCTTCGTCTCGGAAGGATGGGGGATGGTGTAACCGCAGAATTCGACTTCGGGGCTGAACCCGAGGAAAACTCGTTAGCAAGATCCAACATAACAGAGAAGAGAGGGGTTTGTAATAAAGTAGAGTATGTGTACGCACTTCTTCATAATCGCATACCGCAGCGCATTGCCCAGAGTGTGACCCTCTCCCTCGAATTGGAACGAAGCTGCGGTGTCGGACGAGCCGAGCAACTATCCCATCCAGCAGGTATTAGCATACGCCCGGAAGTGAATCATGTCCCACAGTGTATGTAGTGTATACGTACAACAACAATGCGCTTCTCGTCCAGCTCTAGGACATCGGTCTGCTCTTGCTCTTGAGGCGCGGAGGCGTCCAGCATGGACTGGTCTTGTTCTTCGGAGTGGACGGAGGCAGGCATTTTGATCGGATTGTATGCAGAGATTAGATATCGGTTCCTGGGCATTACGGTTAGCGCATTGTCTGGTATATTGTCGTTCGTTCGAGGTGTATACTGAGGGGGTGAGTGGTGGTGGTGGTGGTTATTCTTAGGAGGGGGGAGCGGAGGAGAGATGTACTTAGTGGCGGGACACGCGAGTCGCGGGTGCGGGATATCTTGATGGAACAGATTCCAAAGGATAGTATATTCCCAGCTAGATGCGAATAGAAAATCAAATGGTTCGTATACGTCAAGTTTCGCAAACAACCAGATGCTTAATGCTCATGAGGAGAAAAAAGCGAAAAACGGTTTATCGATATCTCACCGCCTTCGGAGGAGGAGGGCATATCCTTACCGCCTGCTTTTTTCGGCTGTAGTATGCTCAGTCTTGTACTATTTGCTGTGCTGCTCTGCGATGTATGTTTGCCTTTGGTTTGGATCTTATTAATTCTACATAATTGCGAGTTGCTAACTATCTACGGATAAAGACCTGTCTCTTGCAAGAGCTGCAAGCTCAGCTGTAGGAAAACTGACACACAGCACATATCCCATTTAAGCACTCTGCATGGCTAATATATCCAACGGCAGGATACGTACATATATGCCGTACAGCGAACGCTCTTCTCGGCCGTGTGCGACGCTGGATACGAAGTAGTAGCTACTAGTCAAGTCAGGTTACTTCAGCTATTTACATTAAATATAGCATCTGGATTGTCAAACATCGGGCACACGGTATGATCTACCACTATGCATACCCTTGTGCAACTGTGGCTTGATTTTATTTCCCCCTTCTCTCTGTCGGGCTTGGGGGGGCTTGTGTCCTTTTCTTTGCAGAATTGGATTTTGCTTGCATATGGTATCTACATTACGGTGCTACTGTGGTTTTCTCCGGATGGATGGATGGATACTGCAGGTAATCGACCGAGAAGGCCACTATCTGGCTAATCCTTACTGGAGATGAGTCTTATGTCGCTAGATTTGGTAGTAATATTAGATGAATATTATTAAGAAATGACTTTGCTTGTGTTGACTAGACGGAGGAAATAAAATGCTCCGGTGAGCTGGGTTCAACAGGCAATCACTCAGTTCTATAAATATGTATGCCATGGGGAGCAATTAATGTCCGCACCAGGGATATTTTAGTGCAACGCTGTCACCTACAGAAACTCAACTACTAAAGTAGCAGTACTATTGAAGGTACGGTGTAATTGTTCTTAATATTCTACAATCAATAGCTCATTTCGTTAGCACATAGGAGCGATCAGTTAATCCTGGTTAATCCTCCGTAGGCAATAGTAACTGCTATACCACGCGACCGGGACCAAGCTGCATTCTAAGTACACACTGATAACTACCTACTAGTTATTTGCTACTATTATTGACAACAACTTATTGCGATCGACCAGATGCTATATCGCTTGCCTTTGGGGGGAGGGGCTTGAAGTGCACGCCCACTCTTTTTTCCCACATGGAAGAACCAATATTAGCAACAGGGCCGTGCAGAGGCAACGCCGTTGAGACTAGACCCGGGCTTCAAGAAGGCTTAACACGGGGCGTTATTATTATTGCCGTCTGGCATTCAATCAATCAGCCAGCACCGACAGTATTTATGACACACACTGTGATGATGCGCCGGTCAGATACGGCAGAGTAATCATAGTTGATATTAAACTATTTTCTTGGCGTTGTAGATAGCTAGGCTCGCTACTGCAGATATGGAGCTTCGGGTGTATGTGAGTAGATTACTTTGCAGTAAGTAGTAACTAGTATGCTCGGATTCGGACTCGGAGACGGTCGTATGTAGTGGATGATGTCGTGATAGATGGGGTGACGAAATGGATGGCGCGTACGGAAGAATTGATCTGACATTGATGAGGAGAATTCCTGTTCTCATTTGCCGAGTGACTTGCTGCTTTGCCAATAGTAGGACTGTTCTACCCCATCGTTTGAGACATTTATAGGCGAGTGTGTACTGTGTATATTGAATATGGAGTATCCTATCGGGTCGGTTAACTCTCGAACAAGCCCTTCCTTGCACATGGGGGCGTTCAATAAACGCTTATTTGGCATATGCAGGGCAGAGTAGAAGGAACTCCGTGTGTATTGACGGAAGATAATGGTGGTTCTCGTTTCGAGACAACACCCGATAATCTATCTCGTACTCTTCCGGTGGGATAAAACACATACGTATCCACACCGTGTACATGATAGATGGATAGATGGATATCCACGAACTCGGGATCCCAGCTTGCCGAGCAAGCCACACACGATCAATCGATTCGAACATTTACACCGACCTCCTGGAAAAATCTCAGCAGCTTGACATGTTAAGTTAGGTAGACCCTTGTGATGTGACAATCCATGGTACCACTCAGCAGGTCAATAATTACTGGAGACGGCAAGGCCGGACCCATAAACTAGTGGTTCATCAGACTGGATGGCAAGGCCGTTCCTTAATCTTATTTGCAAGGAGCACACGTGGGCCCGCCAGGCCGAGGTTAACTTATACAAAGTAGGCTAACGAGTTAAAGTAAAAATAAGAGAAGATATGCGAGGGTGCAGACTGTATTTTTTTTTTTTCTCACACATTGCACAAACATTTACTTTCATCTGGATAGTATAGACATTGCTTGCCAGCCCGATGGTTGGATAGATATTCGATTGTCCAAGTTCATACTGTTCCCCGGCGATCTAATATCTAGTAGTCCACTCCGTAGTCTCCTAGTCCCCTACTAAGCCGGATCTCACTAGTCGTGATCCCCGGGTTAATGAGGCGGTCCCGTTTAATATTAAAATGACTTGCCTCGTGGAGCGGGAAATGAGGGGAGAAGAGATCGTCCCTGGTGATTGGCTCTCACAAACGGGCTTATCCGCAGATGATTTCGAGCCTTAAATAGGAAGGTCTGTAAGTATTCAGGAAGTAATCCATAATAGCACCTCCCATCATCGGTACCTTGGATCAGGCTGTCGAAGATGGATACTAACTATCGAAAGTCGACAAATACCTTCATTTGGCTGCTGCAATGAAATTTGTCAGATCCACATCCCACCCAGCCGTGTAAGCAGGCCACGCATTGGATCGGAGTAGAAGAGTACCTGCAAAGTATCAGCACTGCGACTGTAGCAGGGATTGAAATGATAATATGCCACAACTACAGTAGACGCAAGATGGAGCCCTCTGCGTGCTTTGACTTTTACTAAACCTTCATGAGGACTAACAGACCTCTTTTTCCTACCCACCAGGCTGTCGGGAAGTGGTTCCGCGCGTTAGTTTTAAATCTTGTGAATGTATTGGGAACTGATATTAAGAAGGACGGTGTATACGGATTTGGCTAGATCACTACCGAGAAGAATGGGTGTGGCTGTTTCTACTACTGGTGATTGATTGATTGATTGATTGACTTGAATAGTTAGTAGTTCTGTTTTGAAGACAGCATGTTAATTGAGTTTGACTCAGCAGGGAAAAGTTTGACAGGTCCCATGTTTTGCATTGAGGCCTTGTTTGAGTCAAGCTGCCGTCTGACTCGAGCAAAAAGGCCGGGGGCTTGGGTTTTGGTTGCACGAGGGCTGGGATTAAAACCATCCCCAACAGTTGCTGCTACTGTTGCTGCTACTGTTACACCGGTACGGCATCTCTCGGCTATCAAGGTAAGGTTAACTGACTAACTTACTAGTAAACTAAGTTAGTCAGTTAATTGTCCAGAATTACTCCGCGGCCCAGTCTGTCCGTCCTGCACTGCAAATCTGATTGAGACAATGGTGTTGTCGCAGGAAGCGAGCTAATCGTCTGAAAGAGAGGGATTCTCATTTCCGCCCCAGGCCGTGATCGAAGGGGGCGGGCAGCGGGCTGTGTTGTGGAAAGTCGATCTTCATTGTTCCCAATAGTTCGCAGGTTCATGTGCTTGAAATGAGCCTGCGAAATTGACCATGAAAGTTGAATGGAAGGAGGCATGGGAAAAATTCTGCCTTACAGTAGTTCGGTCGCTCGGGCCCCTGGGATGTCGCAAGGTAAGCAGTGCCGGACGATCATGTCTAGAATTTTACCTTCGAGGCGGATGTGTGCGGGTGAGCAAGGTAGGTATCTTCACCTTCTCACCTCTTCTACACCCTACATACATACATACCT